CGGAGGACTTCCTACTTGCCTGCAGGAAGCCTTTCCATAGGATTGGTAGATAATCCCTCGGTCGGTAACCCTTGGTTGCCGTGGGTAATAGGATTCTGGTTACTGTTACTGGTTTGGGAGTCACCCCTTCAGTTGCAGTATGTACCAGAACCTAGTTGTAACACTCCTCGAACTTCATTGGGTTCGATGGTAGTATTCTCAGGAGTTCCAGACTCTTCTGGTTATCGTAGGGTAGATGTGAATGTATTGGTCTTTCATTAAGATCCTTTACTATTCATCATCATCTTTTTGCGCGAAAACGTCCCTTTACTTACGGCCTATGCCGAAGATATCTCGTTCTTGAAGCCTAGTAACTTTCTGGGTAGTTGACGGATTTACTCCCTTATACTTCCCAGACCTAGCCGAAGGTCCCCTCTTATATATCCTGCGAACAGGATCCGGTCGGACGGACGGCGGTGACGTATACGGTGTTATTTTAACACCTTCGATTCTGTGGTATAATACTCACAGGATGCAACTTAGATCGATATGTATGATGACGCGCGGGCCCCATAAGGGGGCCGGAGGGGGGTGTTGGAGACCTGAGATTTCGATTTCGGGAGAGGTTACCCTACCTAGGGTGGTTCCTAGGTATCGGATCTTGGTATTCCTAATATAACCAACAACAAACCTATATTGCTGGTACCTGGCAAGAGTGTTATCTCCAAGATATCAATACAGCAATTGAGTACAGGAATATTGAGGAGGGAAGAGCAGCAAGGCATAAGCGTAAACGACGTAACCCAGAGCAGCTATTTAAAGAAAAACAATTTAAGTTTACAAGCAACGGCTGTATAAATTGGGTGTCATACTAAGAGTAGATTCTATATTGAAAGTTATATCCATGGATCGATGAGATACAGAAAACAACAGGAATGGCTTTAACTTACTTGGTTGAAGATAATGTGCCTACACATCAAACATCACAGCGAGTTGATCGGGAAGAGTGGCTTAGAAGAGGCATCATTGCATTAGATTAGCCATCTAAATCGCCAGATTTGAACAAAATCGAACCTCTATGGGACTATGAAAAAGATGAGATATCAACTTGGAGGTTCGTTGGCACAAATCAAGAGACAGTGGAATCGGCGAAGGCTGCCCCGGTCAGATCTTGGGAGAATCTACCTCAGGCAGTTATTGATCAGAAATGTTTGTCCTTTTATGCAAAGCTTCGGCAAGTTATTCTTCACCATGGAGGGAATAACTTCAATGGTTAGGAATATCAGATTACTTATAGGCATGCGGTTTGGCAAATATGCATTTAGGCAGATAGGAGGTTATCGGGTATGTGTTTTTATAGTATGCGGTAACCAGGCATACAGTAGGAGAGTCTGTCATATCCTATGCCACTAGGTGTATGACATGGACGGGGTCTTTCATTTTGTATTATTCCCTTCATACCCTATACCATTAGGTATATGGTAGTTCATATAGAGCATAGGCTTAGGAGATCATGGTGGATTATCGTGAGATATTAGGATGGTTCTAGATTTTCCTTCCTTTCACACTCATCTCCGTATATCATCTATCAGAATTCCACCCTCACTACTTCATTCCTTCATACTTTCTTTAGGTTTTATCAAGGAAGACTATAAGAATAAAGGTTACCTTCCACTTGATATATGGTTAAATGATTTAGTAGAATCATCACAGTAGGCATCTTCCATCTATATGATGAAATGTGATGTTTTGATTGGCCCGGCGATCATTACTAGTTTTGGGTGCGCGACTTCAACTCGGCGGCGCGAGTACTCTACACACTTTTTTGCTCCCCCCCCCCTTTACTCGAGTAGGAAAGCGAGCCAAACCATCCCACCAAAAACAGTTTTAGCGCCCCCATTCTGCTCGTGGCATAACTTGTACTGTACTCGTACTTGTAGATCTTTCATCCCCCCATACTCGAGTAATTCCCCCCTTCATGCCACCACATCCACAGTAGTTAAGCGAAATGACTCAAATCGGTGGGGAAAAAAAAAATAAAAAATAAAAAATAAAAGGTTTATGAGTTACAGTAGGGCTGAAAGTAAAGTCAGTTCAGTCACCTGGCCCATCAAGAGACCGAAATCATCTCCACCCATCCATCCATCCATCCATCCATCCCTTTCCCTCTTTTTCTCGGCTGGGGGTACGAATAAAAGGGAGTGCTTCTACTTCTTCTTCTTCTCCCTGTTTCCCTTCCTACAAGTACTCGTACGGTAGTCTACCCACTGCCTTACAACGTAAAACAACGCTCCTGGAGGCGAGGACTCTAAATACCGGTATTATACAAGTACCCAATCCAGGGAAAGAGAGAAAGAAAGACAAAGCATGATAAGTCTACAAAGTAAATGAAACCCATCCCCTCATCGGCACACACAAAAAAAGTCCGTAAAGTCCGTCCCTCTTACCCCTCCTGGGTATATAAAATAACGATTTAATACGAATCTTGTCGACTCCGCCCGTTTCGGAGAGGGGAGAAAAGGAAAAAAAGTATTTGTAACGTTCCGTACCGAGAGCTTGGATGGGCCGTGGGGTGGCTTGTACCTGTCCACTTACTGTACAATAACCCGTATGATACTAATTATCATGCTGTGACTTACATTACCTATGATACCTTACCTGCGGCGCGGTTAGGGGTTGTGAATGAATGAATGAATGAGCTCTCGTCGGTCGTGTGTCGGTTGTAGTTATAGACTATGTTATCGCAGATTCGTGTGTGTGGTGGTGGGCGGGAAGCGCCTTGCCTTGCTTTGCTTTGCCCTGCCGAGCGGCGTGTGTTGTGTGTGTGGTGGGTGATGGTGGGTGGTCTGTGCTGTTTTTGTTGTGATGTTGTTACAAGTTTGGAGGGCGTAGCCGCCGTTGTAGTTGTAGGAGGAGGCACACATACAGACACACAACTGCGGGGGGGCTCTCAAAGTTTATGCTGTTATGGTTTCTTCCTATTACCTCCGCTGCCTCGTGTAGACTTGGTTACAGTAATTAATACACCCCATTCGCCTTAGTCTATGTATCATAGCATAACCAAGGTCGAAACGAGGCTCCTTACAATACAAACCGCAGAATTCTACGAGTGCTAACTTAACTTGGTACTCGTACTTGCAGTGGGAGGACTGCTGGGACTTGGGAAAGTGGTTGATGCATGCAAAAGTAAATCATCATCATCATCTTTTATAGTCTACCAAAGTATCACTCGATTTCAAGATTCCATCGATGGAGCTGTATATATATCATATTATAAAGGTCCCTTTTGGATCTTGTAAAGATCTGCCACAAGTTGACCGGCTCACCTCTTGTCTGCTTCGAGTTATGATACCTCGGCCCACTCAAATACCGTAAGCTACCGGAAAGGTGGGGGAGGGGGGGGGCTCTTATCGGTCAACCCGAGAAACCGTAATAACCTAATGCGACAAACTCCCGGTCTTTTTACCTCGCCGCCGGGAGGTGAACCTTTTCGACTTTGAAGAACCCCTTACCGTAGTTCTCGTACTATATACAAGTATTATTATACTGTACTAGTACAGTACGAGTACTCGTATGTGTGCGGGGGGGTAGTTAAGCTTGGCGTTGGTTGTCAAGTGCTTGTATGGCGAGGTCTGCGCGTTACACTAAGTTACCCAAGTAAATGGGTGCTTCTCAGCTTCCTTCTGGTTGTTGGAAGGGGGCGGCGAGGTGGTGCCCGAGTACTCGAGTATTGTATCGGGGATCAGTGTGGTAACTTGGAGCTGGATGGAGGGCACTGCGTACAGTACGGTATCATACCGTGCTGCACATGTGCGAATTCCCCTACCTCCCCACCAGTATCATACATAATGTTTTCACGCTTTACCACCGAACCGATACTGCAACATCCTAGAAGCACCGCCACAACCAAATCCGGCTTACAAGTGTATGATATGTTATGTACGAGACAATAGTACTTGTACGAGTAGCAGAAGTGAGAGAATTGACATGGTACGACATCCATTGGGTTCGGGTTCGATCATGCCCTGATCTGGCACCCGCCCGCCCTGCCTCAACCTCTCCCATCAGTCCAAGCCCCGACGACCCTGCCTAATGGACAGATCGATAGCCAGCCCGACAAATAAAATGGGGCAGGCAGACAGACAGCTATAACTTATATATACCGACAGTAGGAAAAAAGAAAGAAAAAAGTGAACAAGAACTCCTCGAAAAAAATCAAAAATCAAAGCCGTGATGTGATATAGTAATCAAAGACAAACTCCCCACACCAAGTTACCGGTAGCCAGACAGGACCAAATCAACCAATCCCTCCCGTAAAGGGAAGAAATAAGATAAAAAAGTCAAACCCACTTTTCGGTCGCTGATGCTGCTTGCTTGATGTTGTCCCTTATACTTTTCATTTGTACAGGTTTTTTTTTCTCGGAACGAAAAAAATTCAAGGAAAAAAAAAAAAAAAAAAAAAAAGAGGTATTTAAGGCTAGAGAGAAGGCTGCGGAAAGGGAAAGAGAGAAAAAAGCTATGTAAAATGAAATAAATAAAGTATGGAACAGTGCAAGGAAATTAAAGGGAAAGAAAGATAAAAAGGAAAGCCAGACCCGAGAAATGCCGATCGCCTTTTTATACCAGTACCCAATGCTACATAAAATTAAAAAAAAAAAGTAAAAAAGTAAACAGAAAAAATAAACAAAAAACCCCTACCCTCGCTGAAATGAAGTCCGCTGTAGGAAACGCGGTGATGGTAATGATGATGGATGGATGGGATTATGAGATTAAGGAAATATAGCCAGGTATAAGGTGACTTTTGAAGACGGTGAGGAAATAAACTGGGGAGAAAGGAAAAGAGAACCGTAGATTCAATGCTCATAAGCCGTAAGATATAAAACCGGTGAAAGGAGAAAAATGAAACGAATCAAGGGAAAATATGCACATCCAACACCGTCCGGATAATGAAAAACAGGCAATATAGCACACGGAGGAGGCTTAGTGAGGTTTAACAATGTTGGCGATCAGCGAGAGTCGTGTTATCTTGTGGCGGCGGGGGTGGCATGGTTATCCCGTCTGCTTTCCTCTCCCATCCCGGCTTCCAGATTGCTCAGTTCATCAGCGTGACCCGGATGACTCTTCGAGGCCCGCCGGTTCTTGGCCTCCTCCACGATCTCATCTAGTTCATCTGAAAAGCCGTCCCACCAACTCCTGTACGTTTTCTTTGGCTCTGCAGGTGCCGAGGGTGAAGAACCAGAACTCAATCGTCCTTTCTCATCCTGCCGTTGCAGCCACAATTCCGCCGCCTCCCTCCTCTCCTCCTCCCTTCGCTCGTACGCCTTTCTCGCCGCAAAACTCATATTCTTCCTATTTCTCCACCCGTCCTCTCCACCCCCTCCATCAATATTGTTAAACCCTTCCCCCCTTATGAACCCGTACCGTGACCAGAACGACTTGCCGTTCGACTCGGGAATGTACCTCCATGGCTTCTCCCGTATGGTAAATAACCAACAATCCACGGCACACTGGATAGGTATTGTGAAGGCCACCATGCAAGCTAACGGGAAATTCGGATTCCGGACGAATTGGTCCCGGTACTGTAATAGGTTACTAACGAGGGATGGGACCCACATGAGCGCGTAGACTAGTGGATATATAAACAGCAAGCGCAACTGCCTGCTGATAGCTATCCGTCTCCTCCTCAATTCTGCTGATGCTCCGTCAGCTGTCCCTCCCCTCACCTTCTTACCATGTGAGATCTCACTGGATGAGCCGGTTCCTCCCTCCGGGTTTGCTATCGATGCTGGCAAGGAGCCCCTCCTTGATGGCGCCTCATCGCCATCATATGCCCACGGCCGAGGCTCTGACGAGCACGCTGGCGGGAAGTTGAGTTTCTCGGCAATGGTCTGGGGCATCATCATCAGCTTTGCAAATGGCTGGTCTGATGCGTTTGATACCTGTCGGCTATCTGAGACAGGCGATGTTGGTATTAATCCGTGGTCGTCCAATTGTGGAAGACCTCTCTCATCCTTTGGTGATTCTGGGACTGCCAAATCAACCGTGTCCATTTCTAAGGTGCTAGCTCCAACATGACTCCGAAACGTTCGAAACTTCATGCGGACATAAATGTATATCGATGCATAGAGGATAAGGATGGTCACGAGGATGATGTATCGGGGAATCCACGCCAACGCCATGCGGTACCATACAGGGCGTACGGGTAGATAACAAAATGTGCCTTGGGCACTGTACGCCGGAGCAGAATTAATGTATGCGAGTGATGGCATTAATATCGAAAATGCCAGCCAAGCAACGTATACCGAATGGCGGTAACGAAATAGTCCTCCTTCGCCAATAGCTGTGAGCCCTGGCCGAAAAATATAGAGTGCGCTGTGAACCGCTATAACCAAAACCGCGAAATCTAGTGAAAAAAACGTCAGGCCGAGACCTTAAAAAAAGAACCGGGAAAAAAACTACAGACGAGCCACAACTGCCATCCCTGTATGACGTACCCGAAGCTTCTATTCCCATTGACATGAAAAACCCGGCAGCCTGACAAAACTTGGATTCGCTCGCAACCGCTCCCCTTGTGAACACTACCGCTGGGTATATCAACTGCCAACTCGCCTTGAAAAAATCCGAAAAGACCAACAACATAATGAGACTGTAATCGGTTATTAGTGCCTGTCCCCAGGGTTTCCTAGTGTCGCAATAACACAGGTTGAAGAAAAAAAGTGGGTCCGGAGCGGGGCGCATACTGATGTCTAAAACTTCGTTTCATACGCACAAACCACCATCCTACTACCACCCCCGTCGAAAGAGATATTGTAGCTGCGGCAAGTGCTATTGTGCGGAGGATGTATAATTGCTGCCCTGTCAGTAATGACAGATCATGAGGATCGCCTATTTTTCGATTCGCTAACCGACTTAGGCCATATATTGGGTCATCAACCCAATACTCCCCACCAGAACCCTCTGCCCTCTTCCCTAAATCCATTCCTAACCAACTCGACATCGTTGCAGAGCAAAAATCCCCCGGAAGTATTAAATAACAGGGTACAATGCCTTGAGCTGACCAAATTCAATGGGGGAAATGGAGACCGGGGTTAAGAATGATCCCCAAAGCCGCGACCGACAGGGAATCCGTTCTCTTCACAAGAAGTGAAAAGAAGTGCACGGTGGCACGGGGTAAACAGATCGGTACTCCCTAAGGTTTATGTTGTGGATTCCCTTTTTTTATTTTTCCTTTGATCGGCTGGCTGGGCTGGGCGTTACTGAAGCCTCGCTACTGCCATCGCTCGACTTGAACGAAAGCCGAAGGGCTGTAGCAGCCCGAGAAGAACTAGGGTCGCCCAGTCGTCGGGGTAGCTCAAATTCAGGGAACGTGGGAGGATAGTAAGAAGGTTATTAAATGATTTCTTTAATTGAAACAAAGTGGAAAGAATTCCAGCTTCTAGGTGTGAAAGTATTGTTATCGTGAATAAAGAGTGAAGGAGGGGGAGTGACGATAAGAAGGCGTGGTGGTGGTGGTGGTGGTGGTGGTAAGTAGTAATAGTAAGATAGTAGCGGTGGTAGTAGTAGTCGAGGTAGTAGCAGTCGAGGTAGTGCGTGGTGGTGGGGGGTAGCAGGTGAAGAGCTGGCAGAAGAGGCCAAGCAACAAGGGCGGTGAAGGGCAGCGGCAGTAGTGCTCGACTGGTAGCCAGCAGCAGGGCGTAAGGTAGGGAAAATAGGCAGCGAGGGATGGGAGGGAGGGGAGGGGTACAAAAAAATGGTTAGAAGGGAAGAGCGAGTGAGTGAGGGAAAGAGAAGCAAAAGGATTGACGGCAAGACTGAGACGGGAGCGCCAGTCAAGTTCAGCACCAACCAAAGGACCAAAGCAGGAAGAATGATGATGGGCTATCAAATGAGATTCAAATACAAGTCAAATAAATAAATAAATAATAAATTGGACAAAGAGTGAATGAATGGATGGAGAGAATGATCAAGAGAAACAGAAACAAAGCGCCGTGCACAGGACAAGTTACGGCCGGCTCAGGCCACCCGCCCCGACGATCAACTCCCTGTTTTTTTAGTGTGAGCTCTGGTATCATACAATCCCTACGAGTACGACACGGCGTGAATAGTTAAACATTGGTGCTTCCTTGATCATCCATCTACCAACTTACCCCCCCTCTGAGTGTACGATACCTCTCTGCCTTTCTCAAAGCACTTCTCAAGTGCATCCCATCTTCCCCCCGGAGTGTAATGGGTTAAAAAAGGAAGGCAAGAAAATAAAAATAAAAATGGTTGAAATGTCAAACCAGCAGTTGCTGCAGGAGGGAGCAGCAGCACCATCACCTCGTCAGAAGATGCTCACCGCGTTCTACAGGGCATACTGTACAAGTACTGTAAGAATAATAAATGAGCAGCACCGTCGACCCCCTCCAGTTGCTGTTTCTGCTGTTCACTGCCCAGCTCAACCATATCTTCCCCATCCGTATCCGTATCCCGTAATCACTTAAAAGCCTCTTCATCCCTACCAAAAAAATAAAAAAAATAAAAATATGATACTAACCAAAACAAGATCGTTTTTGAGATCAGAAGCGTTTCCTTTCCCCACGGCTACCGGTTCGCTGAGCCCAGACCATATGCTCAGATTTCAGCGAAGGCGGTCGTGTGAGACCTGTCCCCTCTCTCCCCGATACCAAACGAGAACCATCTGACTGGATCCCTTTGCCACGCCAGACTTGACCTCCCCTGCCAACAGATGGTTTGATTGACTGATTTCCTTGATTGATTCATTGATTAAGGCCAGTCCATCAATCAAACAATCCCACCCCAACATTCCAACCGAAGACAAGTTTACTCGAGTATTTGTTTACAATTCTGTAAACCAATGACCGCCGGTCGTGGACCACGGCTCACGGACAACCCATTACCATAGCGGTCACTTGCCGACCGGAATATTATTTTCGCGATTCTTTTATTTTTATGACATTATCTCCAATCCCATGGCCGATCGCGAGCAAGCTGGGGTGAGCAAGACCCTACCCTGCGCTGCTTGATTGAGGAAATCACAATTATGTGCCCATGGGCAAGTGAGGCCGCCCTGGGCGTGCCCCAGAGAGCGAAAAGCGCGGTGTGAACACAGCTGCGCTGGCCTTTTCGCTTCATCCCTCTCCGGCTTTCAGTCAGAAATATCAGCCAACAGTTGCATGGGGAGAGAGGGTGGGGGTCGACCGTCCCAGTTTCCCACAATCCAACCCTGGCCGAGGATCGCGCAGGAAAAAGAAAAAGGAAAAAATAAAACAGAGAGCAAAAGGTTCAAAAAGGGAAACACCACACACACAAAAGGTCCAACGGATAGGCTCATAGGACCAGAAAAAATAAAAGGTTTAAGTCTTAGCGGTCAAGTGGTTGTCTCGAGATCCACCGTGATGAGCTGTTCCTCTCCGCCGATCGTTACCCCCATCGCTCCCGAGGACCCAATCCGTTGGAAAGTTCAAGCAACGTCGCTGGGGATCCTCGCAGCTGACCGTGTTGGGTTCGACCAAGCGGGCTCAGCAGACGCTTACCCAAAAAAGGGTTGTGTCCTGTCATTTTTTTGGGAGGGGGATTTTTTTTTTTTTTTTCATATATTTTGTGATTTGTGGATCACACAGGTGATGATTCTTCCTCCCAGTTGGAGTGCCGGTGCAGGATGGAGGGAAGACTGTTAGGATTGGTTGGCGACTTTTTGTTTTGTCCCGTTCCCTTTCGCTTGCGCTCACCTCGATAGGCGACCACAAGCTACTACGGTCCGGCGTTCTTTTCTACACTCCAAGTCTACTCGTACTATACGAGTACAAGCGGGTGGACCGCAGCTGCGGTAGGTAGCCTAATCGGTTGGGTGACGGAATTGAAGTGGTTGAATTAAACTTCCAATTATTGAAGAGCCCTCGGTTCCGTAGACTCCGTAAATCTTGGAAAAAACGGTGGCGAAACGGGGGATAGGGGAGAAATAAAAAATTCTCGGGTAAAGGTGGAAAAAAGAAGAGGAAAAAGAGATACCGGTACTGTGGGGGATAGAGAAATATACGATGGGCGGACCGATCTCGTGACATGATGCCAGGCGCAGGAGAAGATATACAAGTGGAGAGGGTAAATGATATTATGATAGCGACATATTTCCTGTTGCTTCTCGTTGCCGGAAGCGTGAGTGTTTGCGCGTATCGCCCAAGGGTGCGGGAAGTGGGCGGTGGGAAATAGTTGGGGGTCCTTTCGTCGTCGACTGCTGTTTGGCTCCTTTTCATCTCGCCTGTCGTCCAAGGCATGATATTGCGGCAACCACCCTTCACTGATGCGCTGCCAATGCCTCAGGGTGAACCGTGCGTCGTCGGGGTAACCTGGCAACCAAAAGCGACAGGCGAGTGAGGCAACCGAGTGACCGTTGAGGGGCGATAATGATAAGTAAAAATTTAATATAAAAAAAAAGCTGATTAGGGATTAGGGCTTTTCACCCTTTCCTTTCAGCCTCATACGCAATGCTCGGGCACAGTGCAACCCCTCATTCCCGATCAACCCACCGAAATCTGGTTCATGATACTACATATCTAAACATCCCAAACCAACCATAACCAGTCCCAGCGAGCCCACTCGCTGAATCGTGACTTTCAAGCCACAAACCTAATACCCACCTCATCCAGTGGGGTGTACCCGAGAACTCACTCTCAATTTGAACCTAGCATTCAACACAGTTTTCCCCATTTCCTAGCCCCCTTCTTTCAACCCCAACCGGCCCCACCAGCTGCGGAAAACACGTCTCCCCTAGTCACACGTATTTACCACTCTAGATACTCTACCCGGAGCACCTCGCTCACCATACGTCAAGACACGCGACGACACTGAACTCAAAACACCAAAAGACGCAACTCCTGATCTCCTACATACAGCCATGTCAGACCCAGTCCATTCACCGGAAGGGGGAGCAGCCGAAACCCCAAATGCCCCGTCTGCACCCGTGGATCCCCCTAAAGCTCGCAAAGCCTTTATCCCTCTCGAGTATGTTCTAACCATCCATCCCTCCATCCGTCTAAAACTTTTCAACGACAGGGTGAAAATATACCCTTAACTTTATACGCTATTGTTACCCGCATCATCCCATTCGTCTCTCCAGTTCTGTTTGTGCTAACCGAGGCTGGCGTATCGATCTGTGCAGATGCAATCCCGAGCTGATGACCGCCTTGGTGCACGAACTAGGGCTGTCTGAGAGCTTGGCTTTTCATGATGTCTTCTCCCTTTCTGATCCCGAACTTTTAGGATTCATCCCGAGGCCCGCTCTTGCGCTTCTACTCGTTTTCCCGGTTACTGAGAACTATCGGCAGCACCGCATCGCGGAAGATGCAGGTAAAGAAGAATATTCAAAGCAGGGTGATGGAGAAGATCCGGTGTGGTTCAAGCAGACAATCAAGAATGCCTGTGGGTTGATTGGTGTCTTGCATGCGGTTTGCAATGGGGAGGCCAGAAACATGATTGGTACGTATTTGCGGTACACCGCCATCTCACCATCCCCCCGTACAAAAAAAATGAAGAAAAAGAAAACACCGAAACAAATCAAGTGAGAAGAGCACGGGTGAAAGAGTAGGGCAAAAATGGGCGAGAGATATAGAGTGTCATAAATGTCAATCCGTTTCTAACACGTTTGCGATTGTTCGAAAAAACGAATTGTAGGCGGCGATTCTTCACTCAAAGAGCTACTTTCAAAAGCCCTGCCTCTTCCACCTCTCGAGCGTGCCCAAGCTCTGGAGGACTCCCAAGAACTGGCATCAGCACACAAGTCTGTGGCGACCCGAGGAACTTCTACAGTTCCAGATGCTGAGGACGACGTGGATCTGCACTACGTGTGCTTTGTCAAAGCGAAGGATAATCACCTTTACGAGCTCGACGGTTCAAGGAAGGGACCTCTAGATCGCGGGGATCTCGGAGATGATGATGTCTTGAATGATCGGGCGGTGAAGGTGGTCCAGAGTTTCATTGATAGGGAGAAGGAGAGTGGGAGTCTCCAATTCAGCCTTGTCACCTTGGCCCCGGCCCTGTAATGAGGGACGGTACTCTACGTAGTGAAAACTTCAATGCTACATAATTATGGCGCCACGGAAAGATATCCGGTACGATGGTTCATTGTGTTGGATGTGAAGCTTACGCATTGAGATCAAAAATAATGACAATCGTTCATTAAAGCGGTGATAAACCAGATATCCCAATTATCAGTTGCCAGTGCTGAATAGGGATATATGGAGCATGTTGCGCACTACGCGTGAAGATCATCGACCCTTTCTTGGGGCAAGATATAGGGCCCACCGGAACATTCATGATGCAATGGCCCCCCATGATAAGAAAATTTAGGCGCTGAGGGAGAGAAAGGTCTTCCATACTCGACCCATATAATGGATTTGTAATTCATCCATCCATTCACTTCATCCGTCCTGACTCCCGGCAATACTTCCCAATCGACAGCATCTTACCTGCCCTACCCTGCCCTGATTCAAAGACAAAAATCACGACATCCCATCACCAACCAACTCGGCACCCACAACCCAATTTTTCCAGAGCACCGTACCGGGATTATGATACGATAATATCAAGATGGTGCCCCAACTGCGGCCGCCGCGAATCCCGGGGAATACCCTAAGCACTTCTGCCAAATATGACACCACCGCAGTCGTACAGTACGAGTACAGTACTATCTCCCCCTTACTCGAGTAGCAATATGAATACGCTACCGGCAACTTAACAGAACACGTAAAAAGGAAGGAAGAAGAAAAAGGGTCCGCAAGCACGGCAATCACCGGGTTGGTTCAGCGCGTGCCCGCCGAATACGGTATGATACCTTAAAGGGTGAAAATGCTCGGGCGGTTTCATAAGTGTCCGGGCGGACAGACACCTCAATGCCAAGGACCAGCAAAAAGCGTAGATCTCTCGGCGGTGTCTGGATATCTCTGGAATTGGTGAGTTTGGGTGCCTTATATTAATTATGATTGCCGGTACTTAGTACTTGTGCTTGTGCGAGAGAACTCGTAGGGATCTGTGTAAGATGGGTGCAGCGGGTGTGCTCGAGTATGTGAGAGGTTGAGAAAACCGAGGTGGTGGGTTCTTGTGTTTTTTTTTTTTTTTTTTTTTTTTTTTTTTTTTTCTTCTTCTTTCTTTTTCCTGTCTTTTTCCTTTTTTTGTGTTTGTTTTGTTTTTCCTTTCCGAGATGGGCATGGGGTGTCACTCGATTCATGACAATTACAATTTCATGTTTATTCATTTTATCATACCGGTATCCATAATTATGATAAGGTTTTTGGGGCGGTGCTGTCTTGCATTACGTGTGTGGTGGGGTGCGTATTGGAGGAACGTGGGACTGCTCGTGTGGCGTTTGGCGGTAAGAACTATCGGGATGGGTAGGGCGCGATAGACCAAGTGCGGATTATTATTATGATGCTGTAGACTTTACCACACCGGTATCATAAGTACGAACCACTGGGTACGTAGAAGTATTTATAGTCCAAGTAAGTAAGTACCGGTACCGCAGCGAATAGCCATCGCTTCTGATGCTCCGGGCACACCGCTAACCACAATACCGACGCAATATGATACAAACTAATCCATTGTTGGGGGCCATCTACCCTACCCAATGTACCGGAACATGACCTCGTTCGCCCCAGGGACTTGATGTCGTAGTATATTATTGTATTATTGTGCACTTAGCGTCTACCTCTACGAGTACTCGTATCTACACTCTACTGTGCTGTAAGGTTCTCAAGGCACAGTAGATTGTCTTGCTAAACCCCAACTCAATGGGCGCGGGGATGCAGCTGCAGTAGACCAACTGGCAGCACCGAGCGGAGCGCTTGCTCCGGAAAGGAAAATTGGTACGAGTACTGTACAGTGGTCGTACATATTTAGACCTATTTGTTCTCGTGACCACCGCCCGTCGGGACCATAGGTTGGTATCATAGCCGGTACGGTAACTTGGATGGTATTATCCTTACAGTAACGGGGGCGTTGAACCCTACCCTGTAATACTCGTGCTGCTTGAAAGATGGGTGTTATCGTACCGGTAACTTATCGCCCTCCGGAACCGGATATCACACCTCAAGATATTTCAAACTCCGAATTCTCGCGGAGATCCCACTGTACAAGTAATATTCTTGCAACCCCGATATATCCGCGGCAAGGAGGTGGATATTAGGTATTTCCTTCCGATTACGTAATGCCCAATCAGCCATTACATTGGTGATTCGAAATTTATTTTACCATATCGACAGGTATTGATCTCGTTGAAGGGATCGGGGAGCGTGGAATTGGGGGAAGGGGAGTTTTACGAGGGGGGGGCTCCGTTTCTGAGGACTTCATCTCGCCAGGTGGTGTGGTTGTGGTTGAGAATTCTTTTCGGGTGTTTTTTCATGTGTTTATCTGCACAGCGCTATTAGAGTATCATAAAGGGCGGGGTACGATAATTATTATGACAATAAAGGGCGGAAAACTTGTCGTGGCGACAACGTAGGGATTATGTTGATCCGTTGATAAACAGATGTGAAAGGAAACATAAATTTATCACATCACTGCACCGGTAATAAAAGTCAGAAACCCGGACCAGTTGCATTGATGCTTGCTTTTCCTGCAGAGATGGGGATCGGAGATTCCAAAGGGCTAACTAACTTGGGGTTAACTTTATAGGCAATCCTCATGGGACCGCTTCTGTACTGAACCAAATTCCATGATTCTTGCCTCACACTTAATCTACCCAAGCATCCATCCCCCTCCTGTTCGCAAGATAATTCAACCTGGTATCCACTCTGGGTTGCTCATGTCAACCATCCCTTGTTATTTTTTCCCCGCTAATATCGACCAGATGATCACCACCCCATAGGATCTTGCTGATCCTTTATTTCTGCCCTTTATGACCATGCCCGAGTACTCGTACTCGTACTCGTTCAACTAAGTTGCTGTATTAGGGCCCGTATGATGGATGGATGGAAAGGACAAGTGGGCGACTCGAAGTAAACACCCTCCTGTTTCTTTTCTTCCGATACCTATAGAGGAACTATTCTCAGAGGGGAAAAAAAGAGAGAAAAAAAGAGGGGTTACTAAAAGGGACGATGGGGGACCACCTGCCACTCCCAATATCGGATATTGCTAGTAGAGCACGGTAAGTTACTGCTTGGAAACATGACTTGTCGAGTCCACCAAGCCTATCAATACCAGACCAGATTACCAGCGGAAATCACCCCATCGGCCCAGGAAAAACTATGCAGCAACTCCTCCCCGGGGCTCACGATGCTGGCCCGAACGGCGTCAAATTGCTCACACCACACCACAGAGAAGATCTGCGCTGGGGACTTGGGTCAGCGGAAGAGCAGCATAGTTGGGTGACACGGCGTATCAATTTCTTGCTTGCCTAATACTCCCCGGGGAACCACCTTTGTATTGGGTTATTAAGCTGGTGCCTTACGTTCGTCGTCGTCAAGATGGCGGTTGTTTATGTCATGTCACGGGTTGTCACTCGAGCCACTCCTCCACCCTTTCCTTACCCTGCTAGAGCTGCGAATGGAACTGGAGGAAAATATATATTATGGGTTACAGACGGGGGACCAAGCGTGGCCAAGCAGGGAATCCATTACCGCGGCAAACCCACCGGATAAGTAGAGCAAGTAAAGACGATAATAGGTACTGAGAAAACATTGGAAATTGGGAATCTGAAGGAAGTGTGTGGGCTTGGAACTACATTTGATGTGAGGATTCATCATCACTATCTCTACCCCCTTTTTATAACCGCGTTTTTCTCCTTCCCCGATTGCACTTTTGCAAGTTCTTAATAATCGATCATCATTTTCATCTCTTCAAATCCGGCTCTTACGACGTCAGTCTCAACAGATACTATGATACCTTCAATAACCCCCCGTCGACTATTCCTTGTGTATGTGTAATCGCCATCACCAAGCAGAGACCAAGTAGTGGGATATTAAGGATTCACCACATCCCCCCCTTCCCCCCGAATAGTTTTGTTATTTTTCGCCCCCCGAATTTCGTGATGCTAATTACCGTTCCCGAATCTTCAGTACGATCTTATACCGTAACTTAAGCCCCGCCAAGCAGACCTCACCAAAAAATAATAATAAATAAACCCACTAACTCCATATTTAGCATGTGCACAGTAGTGCACTCGTAGCGGGCGAAAAGTACGGTACCTGGAAATAGGGGTTGTGAACTCGTCCTGCACGAAGGCTCAGATATCATGCGCACGGATATTTTTATTTTTGCCAATCCCCCCGTTTCAGGAATTGTCATCCGGTACCGTGAGGTGACGGAGAGGTAATATTATCTCAGGGGCGGGCGAAACGGAGACCCCGCGGGGTTATCCATCATCCCGTCACCTCCGGGTCAGTTTGTTCTGTGTAAATTTGGCGCATTGCTCAAATTTGGGTTCAGTCTCTATCACTCGTGGGAAGGAAGCATGGTCCGTGATTCGCTATCCCCGCGAGACTTCCAGTTTCCGGATTCGGAGGCCGATCGGCGCTCTCCTGATATGGTATGGCTGAGCAATCTGGAGGCGTTGGATCTTGCTGTATCAATTGGTGCTGTATGATGCAGTACAAGTATTCGCGATTGTTACTGTGGACCGTCGAACTGTACCGATCGTGTGCCTTTTACCCCTGGTTGTCAAGCCGATTTCATCAATTCTCACTCGTTTAACTTTCACCTCTGTGTGGGGCTGGGGGAGGAAAGAAGGAAGGTGGGTGGATAATTAGATCCCCGGAATAACTCTTTCCGTTCTCAAGGACTATACCTCCGTTTTATGGATCTGCGGTTGCGACGCGGTATCTTAAGTGGGTGGCTATGGGCTATACTTTCTGTTAACTCCGCATCGGGAGGGGACATGTCTGCTCCTCTGGTTAACTTTCCTTCCGCACTATATTCCCTAAACCACGGGTACAAAGCACATCCCATGCTCCTCAGGTACTTCACAAGTCCCAATCTCCTCACTAGGCCATTCACCTTCGTTGGGATGCCCACCGCAGCTCCCTGAGCGAAGACCGATGACTGAAAGATCCCTTCAAACCCACAACCATAGGCAAGCATTTAAAGCCGAAGGAGGAGAAGAAGGGAAAAAGAAAGAAAGCTGAACAGCACGCTAGTCCACCGATACCCACGCCGCCGATGGGATTCTATGGTTAGTTTTTCTTCAGAAATAATAATGTCGTGTACTGCTGTCTACCGGTAAAATAGCCATCCGGAGCAGAGGAACTTATTGCTAGAGCGTATGGCAGAATCCAACCTACTCGTAATAATCACGGAAATGCAAGTACTGTACCCCAATCTAATGAGTTGAATAAAACCTTTCCTTATCACAGTAGCAGTATCGCACATACCGACACCGCACTCACTCGGAAATCACAACCCACCGCCGGGTGACCCATAGAGCCTTGCTAAAACGGGATTACTCACCAACCGGCAAGTTAGAATCACCCAATGCCAGTCCGCGAGATGCTGGAAGATCAGCTCGCTCAAGTCATAGTCTACCGCATTGGTCTCCGAATGCGGGGGGGTTGGATGCCCTCCATAGACGTCGCGAAATTTAGGTCTACGATACCCACTACCGTAGTACGGAGGTTGTCGCTCCCGACCATGTTTTTTCCCCCTCTGGAATTGAGCCGAAGTTTGGCAGAGTAAAATACCGGTATGGTACCGTACGTACCTGCCTGTGGTACCCTGGGAACGGAGGAATGACGCATATTAGTATCGTACGGTGTTCCCACGGGGCTTGGTTTACCTGATCTAATCCATAATCATGATGTGCATATTACAACTATTACAGTGACATGCTCTACGGACTTTATTCCAGCCCCCAGGTGGGCCCGCTCTTGCATGCGTTCATCGGCATACTCGTACTGTGTTTCTCCGATATACGGTACTTGTGTGCAAGTGCCGTGCGTGCGGGTTTCAGTTGGGTGTGCTGGTATGATAGCAGGAACCATATATTGATCATGTGACATTTTATATTATGCTTATATTTTGCTATGTAGCTACGGCGGTGGTGTTTAGGGTCATCCATCACTGCCGCTCTCCGTTTGTCTTCCCACTCTGAGCTTTGGGAGGGACGGAGGATAAACTGCTTTTCGGACCTCCCGTTACGTCTTGCAAAGGGGAGAACAAGAAATTCACAAGTCAAACAACTCCTTCAACATCTTTATAGTATCCTCCGGCTTCGTGACCGAATGACCAATGGTTCTTGAGTCCTCATAGATCTCATAGTCATTCCCGCCTTTACAAACACATCAGCCCATATCCACCGCTACCACAGCCATCACTGCAGAATGAGGGAGGAGAGACACACCTTTGTAAGTCTTATCCCCAAAAAAGTGAATCTGCGAAAACACGCCCTCCTTCTCGACGTGCTGGAGGCAATAGGTCTTATCCCACCCGGTGGGGAACACGTCGAAAGATATTTGCCCACCAATGCTGTATGTCAGGCCGTAATCTGCAAAGTTCATCTTGAGCGCTTCGACAAAATCCCGGCGGACATTGTGGATTTTGTCGTAGGCTTCGAAGTCGTGGCGTTCTTGGATTCTGTTTTCTCACTCATCAGACACACCCCAGGAAGTGAGAAGGAGGACGGTATATACGAAGCATTACGCCCAATGGGGGAAACGTTGATCATCCCGTTGCGGAATTCAATGAATGTTCCGCTGCAGCAGAACTTATTAGCCATCCAACCCAGCTCAGCACTTGGAGGAGAGGTAGCGAAGCTAACCGTTTAAGGGGAATATCCAAATCCGCAATGTAATGCAAGATAAAGTTCGCTATCTTCTTATACTTCTCTTCGCCCAGCCAGGTGATGAAGCTGTTACTAGGCAGGGCTTCTCCGAGCTTATACGCGGTGAGGCCATTCTCGGCAAAGCAATAGTCGAATATGTCGATTACTGCATTTCCCACCCATCCACCAATCGATCAATCCTGTTCGTAGTAGTAAGGAGGATGGGGAGTGGAAGAGCACCATTCAATCCATTAACACCCAACTGCTCCTGCTGCTTCACAAGATCACTTCCACCAACGAATCCGATAGCTACCTTTGCCCTGAGCTTTTGTAGGAGGGCTAGCATTTCTGGGCTCACGGTCTGCACATCCCATAATCATTATTGACTGTCTCCACCTTGATTTTCGGAATTGGGTTTTTTCGTTTCGAAACAAAAGTGCGGGGAAAAAAGGAGGCCATAGCTCAACTCACCCTTCTAGCTGGAGTAAGTGTCCCATCAACGTCAAAAAGGCAGATGGTATTCGCGATAGGGCGCTGGGTCAGAGGTGGAAATTGGGAAGCAGCTGCGGACATTTTGGAGTTGCAATTGGGCTTTTTGTAATACTTTCTTGATGGGGGAGGTGAGTAAGGAGGAGGAGGAGGGGTGAAGGTCTTTTATGGGTTTTGCTGCTTGGTTGGTTGGGTTGGTGGTTGAGCTGGTTAAGCACGTTAGGGTACTAGCTGAAGAGCCCCCCCCAGGGGCTCTCAGGGTTCGATCCTTGGCGCGGAGATCACCGAGTTTTTAGAAATCAATACCCGTAAATTTTAACTTGAACTTGGCTTGGGACCAGTATTCCTACAAGTTGCTTTTCCTGATGCTTGCGATACCGTAAATTATACAGAGAATAAAAGAGCGCCATATATACAAAGCATAAACCCCATGTCTGAGAACCCTACAGAGATGTCACTACTCCTTCATTCATCGTGCCTTTAGTCTATGGGTATGGTATAGTTTGGTCTCATCACTATTTATCTCCCTCCATTCACAGAGAATAATATCTGAGGCTTGCGATGAGCTAGGTCGAGTATTGTCTGCGCAAAGAGCGAGTTCGCCCAAGCAAACCAGCTTCCTATATCACCACATGTCAATTCTGCCGCGATTAGGCTGTGGGATGGAAACCACATACTTGTATAATCCTTCACCCTCTCGACATTAACGCTCTCGTGCACGAGCCCAAGCGGCGACGCCTTCAACACCATCCCAAGAAGAGCCAAGATTTCGTCATCATCGTTAGTCGTCAAGATTTCAATCAATAAGCTGATCGGCCAAGCGTGTGTGATGCCAATATGCGGACCTCCGATGCCCTTAAACTCAGTCCCGGTCAAAAAGTAAGGGTTGCCTTCCCGGGAAAGAAGCATCTTTCGGGTGTTTTGGTATGTTTGGTTTTTAACGTCGACAAAGCCAAGCACTGGTAATGCGAGTAGGGACGGAAGGTTTGCGTCGTCCATGATGATGTGCGAACCATATCCGTCGACTTCATATGCAAAGACTTTTCCGAAAACCGGATGTGTAATGACACCATGCTTCCAGACACCGGCCTCAATCGCTTCACCCTTTTTTTGAACAAAATTTGCTAACTCTATCTGCCTGACCTTCCTCAGGATCTCTGCGGTTCGCTTGAGCTCCACAGCTAACATAGCATTTCCAGGAATGAAGAATTGCATAATCGCAGCATCGTCGCTGGGCCTGAAGGCGGATCTGACTAAGCTAGTGTTATGGTTAATAGGATTGCCGATACCCCCCAGGTTCAAAGTCTCTGTCCCAAGCGTGGTCCTCCTTTGGAAAGTATAGACCTGACGTTGAGCCAAACCGGTCCTGCTGAAAGAAGAGGCCTGTTGCTCTTCAATCAATGCCATGACATTATCCACCGCTGATAGCCATTTCTCCCCGACGAAAGAGAGATCGCCGGTATGATTGTAGTACTGATTTCCGAGAGAAAGGAAAGAAGCCAGTGAGTCAATCTCGTATTTGCATTCAAACACCACAGTGTTATCGTACGCCGGATGAACATTATCGTCCTGGCCATTGGAGGTCCTAGCACGCCTATTAGCAATCTATCAAACCACTCGCCGCCAAAGATTCACTCACGGTGCGAGCCCACTAGCCTTGGGAGGTTGAAAAGCATTACAATAAGGAGACTGTAGCACGAAATCCGCCTATCATACCAGGGCAAAAGTTAGCTTCCCCTTCCCCAGCTTCCCAAACAAACGATTCTCTTCAAGAAGCACAAAATACCTGGGTATTAATAGCTCCCAAAATCAAATTCCTCAAGGACTCATCATTCTTAGCGAGCAACTGATACTGGGCCAACTGATTTGTACTATCCCTCAGCCACTGAGCATTGATATCACCCGTGACAATAAAGCTCTGCTTATCAGCAACCCTCTCGGAATTCAAATGCCACCTAACCGTCGTATCCAGCGTATTCGGGAAGCAATTCTCGAAGAGCCTAGCTAGGTCCTTATCCTTGATCCTCGCGTTCATCTCCGCGATCAGTGATTCCACGGCTGGAGAATTGTAGAGCCTGCATTCCTCCACGGGTCGCTGGAATGGCAGTCGGTATTTCCCCTTGCTATAAGGCGGGTGCAGGCGTGTTGCGTAGTCCCGGTAATCCGGACACGCCCGGTGATGGGATGGGAATTGCTGCTGCTGAGAGCGGTAGAGTGCGTCTTGTCGGTTGGCTTCCGACCCTCCTATTAGGAAGAGGAAGGATACCAGTAACGTGGCAGCACCAATCATAACGAGGGGTTTCCAGCTGGAAAAGAGGAATCCTATGGAGGTTGGTGACGGCCGGAACTCGCTTTTCTTGTCGTCTGTGGGGGATGGAGGTCTGTAGGTTGACGAGGAATCGCACGTTTCGGTATACTGTGACAGCTTTGCAAGCGGCACCCGTT